CCTGCTTGCTCCGCCCAGAAGAAAGAGAGAGAGAGAGAGAGAGAGAGAGAGAGAGAGAGAGAGAGAGAGAGAGAGTCGTCGGGCTTCTAACCTTGCACGCCCAACTTTTTGCCTGAGGGATGCTCGCGTAGAACCTTTGAGAAAACGCGACATCTGACAGAGGTCCTTCGGGCTGAGGGTATCAGGCGACTTGAGCTAGCTGTCAGTGGTCATCCACCACTCTCTGCAGTATCTCTTGAGGGTCGCGCAGGCATGGTCTATAGGGTCTACGGCAGGCTTCAACAGCCAACAAATGTTGCTATCGCATCCTGGTGACCAAATGTCAAGCAGCCGTGCTGTCTGAACTCTAAGCTTATTCAACTCCGGGGGTGAATGTCCTTGAACTTCCTCCCCACCGCATATTGATGGTTTCACACCGCAAGTATACATTTTGACCTTTTTGGGATTGCCTTGTTTCCGATTACGAATACGACATATTTTGGGGAGGCGCTTCATATTCTCCTTCCAGCGTGACGTCTTTTTCGATCTGCATCCCTTCGAGGCCCTAATCTTATCCGCGTTGTGGTCAACCCCCAGGTTGCTGATGGAGTTCTTGATGGGCCCCGAATGTTCCCCAAGAGCCCATGGAGCCTGCTTCATGATCTCTAAGTCGTTTGCAGGGAAGTTGAACTTCTTCATGTGGATGGGGAGCTCCAAGGTGAACGTAAACTGGTGAAACATTCTCGCTGCCAAATCTGCTAGACCATTGAGACACGCCTCTACCGCGCACCCTACCGAGTCGAACGCCATATCGTCGATATGGATCGAGAGAGACGTGCCATCGTTGATCGTCGCGTCGTGGATCGTAGGAATCATATAACCTTTCACTTCAAACGTCGCCGTCGAAGATCCCGCAACAATCCCCCCTGGCGGGGTATAGAGGCTCGCAAACTACATTGTCCATGAGCAACCTTCGTGGCCATCTGTGCGAGTCGAGCGCCGCCTTCAAAGCAACCCGCGGGAAATCACACCGCATGCCCTCGCTGAGCATGGCGTGGTGGCTGATGTGCTCGTAGCACTGCTTCAAATCTGCCAAAAGCATCGCAACAAACTTACCTGCATGATCTGCTATGTCCCCTCTCACCACTGCCCTCCAAACAGAATCTGTAGTATGTCGAGGTGGGGCCATGTTAAAGAGTTTTGACCTGACCGAGGCACGCTCCCATTCTCGGCAGTGGTGAGCCAGGCTCTTGGAATACATGCGGCTGAAGCTCTCGAAAAAAAAAAAAAAAAAAACCCTATGGGCCTTCGACCTCCAGCTGCCTTGCGGAAGAGGGCCGCAATCAACTCGTTCAACGCTGGCGGGCTGCTACCTAAGATGTCCATGACGTTGAAAACACCTTCCATGACCTCAAGGGCCCCCTTCGGAGAGCTGAGAGAAGTGCTCGGTTGGTACACGTAAACAGCCGTGGTGCACATCTTGAACTTATACGACATTTTTCGAAGCAGATCTCCAGAAGGGGCCTGGGGGAATCCTGTAGTTGGCGCCCATGGGGTCCTGCAGCTGCGCCCTGGGCTCGTGGGCCCCCCAGGCTTTGCTCCAAATATCATGTTGCTCCTGAAAACGCAAACCAAAGGCTGGCGATCTGGCTCCGTCGGGATGCTGGACCGTATCCTCTACCGTTCCTCCAGTAACCTTAGTGCTGCTATGTCCTGGCCTAGCTCCTCCAGCTAAAGCCTCCTCGCACCAGTCCTCCCACCTCTCAGTGGCCTCCTTCCTCTCCTTCTTCGCATAAGCGTCAAGCAAGTCTCCAATAATGTGCCCCCACATCTCGACAACCTGGATGAAGCGGTCCTGCATGTCCGAGGTGAGAGCGAGAGCGCCTAGCTCTGCGCAGAGGAATGCCAGAAATCGCAGCGGCTCCTCCGGAAGGTCCTGAACGGGCCTCCGCGCACTGGTAAATGGCGAGTGTGGTTCGCAAGGTCCTGAAATTGCTTGGAGTGCCCTTCCAGAATGAGGCTTTTCATCTTCTTCACGCGGCGTATAAACCATGAACTACATCTGCCTTCACTGGGTAGAGGGCTTCTGGAGGTAATGATGAGCCCCGAAAAGGCGGACCGTCTCAAACTGCAGAGGCTGGCCTCCCTCCAAGCCGATGGAGGCGGGAACTTGAAACTTGTTTTTTGAGCTCGCCCCAGGTCCTGTCGGTCCAGGTGGGGTATATGCGGTCCAAAAATGCCTGCAAGACCGCCTTCTCGCCGTCTCCCGCTGGTACTCTGAAGCCTGAACCTGAAGGGTGGCGGAAGTCCTCGAGCAAGGCACTGATCTCAACAGCCAGGTCCCCATAGTCCGGGGGGGGGCTTCGAGGGGCCCATGGGGGCCTCTGTGGGCACCTTCGGGTAGTTAACAACTCTTTGAACCCAGATGCCCTCTGCGGCGCTGCTCAAGGACATCTCAACTGGCTTGTGCGGCGGAACCGTCGCGTCTTCGTCAACCGCGATCCTCTCAAAGCTGAAGGCT